TAAAATATAGTTAAAAGATTCAACTTTAGAATTATAGATTTAAAAATGGAGGAAGAGCTTGGGGGCCATCTATTTCTACTTCCTATGATAGATCTTGAATGGTTATTCAGTCTCTACTGGTGTATTTCCCTAGGAAAACACTGAGTGGTTTGGTTTGGTTTATTGACACATGTGTTAGAATGTTCTTTCTGACACTGGGATGAATTCTCTGAAGTAACTTGCAGCCTTTGGCACAATTATCAGTGGGTAAGTGATATAAGTGCAAGAACATTCCCCACAAGGAGTCCACTTGTCACATTATATACCAAAGGGTCTCCCTTAGCTCTTAAGAACACAAGGCATGGCGCACCACATATGAGCCTGCTCATGGTCCATCCAGGCCAGTAGTCTACCACAAGGATCATTTTTGTTGGGCAAAGGATGGGTTATGACTACCCAAAAAAATAATGCCTAAAACCATGCAGCTCTTATTTCCCCTTACTATATACATGTCCATTCATTTTCACAGAGATGTATCCTAGATCTTTCCTGCACCTGCTTATACATTCAGAAGGTATCTGTTTTAGGGAAAACTAAGGGCTGTGTGTTTTAGCATAACTATGGGTTATGCTCCTGTGTGAAAATATACACACCCACAAAAACACAGAGAAAAAGCTAAACTCGGCGATAGAGAGGCGATAAGACACAAAAAAAATGAGACCACAGGACACACAAAAAATAAAAGAGAACAAAACGCTGAGAACAAAAAAACACTCCCAAAAAAAAAAAAACACATATAGGGGGAAAAAAAGCCGCCAAAAATAAGTTGGAATTAAAAGCTAACAAAAGGCAAACCGTTCAAGAGCCAAATTTAAAAACCGGAACCCAATGAGAAATTAAAATCCCCTTCCCAATCCAACCCTTCTGAACCGGAACCCTCCAAAAAAGGGGAAAAAAACTTCCTCCGAAAAAAGCCAATTGGAAAAGTAAGAAAACCCTTAAGGGGCAACCCGGCCCAAAGGTTCAATGAACCAACCCCAAAGGCCAGGCCGGAAAAGGTCCCTTTTGGGGAAAACCGGGAAAATAACCGGGAAGGAACAAAACCCCGGCCCTAAAAAACCCAACCCCGGTCCAAAAACACCCCCAACAAAAGGCTCCCTAAGGTTGCTGGGTACCACTGTTCTCTTGGCCAAGGAGCAGCTGTTCATGGAGGCAACCAGACACATAGCTAATGTCCTCCTCCAATTCCTAGCTCTCCCTGAGAGATTGCGTGCTAGATTTTCAGGCCCCAGTCACAAAGCAACCAACTAGGAAATAGAACAGAGGTACTGAGAAACAATATTAGGTTAATTGCTTGGGATGTTGTTTGAAACCTTGACCCTAAGTCTCCAAACCAAGAAACTAACTTCCCGGAGGTATTTGGTTGCAGCTCACAGGTTGGACAAGAAGCTCAGAGGGCAGTGAGCTGAAGATAATGACAGGCCAATGGGGGACAGAATAGCAAGAATGGTAGCACAACTTGAAGAATGTATCTAATGTCACTGACCTTCACATGTAGAAATGGATGAAATGATGCATCTTTGACTATTCATTTCTTCATCACAAAAAATTCTATAAAGTTACATAGAAAGTTCTTCGAATGAACTCATTAAAAAAAACACACTAACTCGTTTGTTTACTATGCATTATATTTCTGTTTGCCCTCAAACTTGATTACGTTTCTTTAGATGACTCTATTTATTAGGAAGCTGCTCGGTCAGTGGATCCATTGAAGTGCCAGGGAATCGTAAGCACTTGATCATACTCCTTCCTCACCACCTCGAGGGCTTTGCCTCCCATATTCTCCAGGCTCTGGTTCGAATGCCGAGCACATGCCAACGTCACGATGAGGAGAGGCACGCATTACCCTTCATGACTGAGCCACAAGTTCATAAGCTGTCACCAGCATCCCTTTTTTAAGAAGACCGATTGGTGTCGATTCAGGACTCTGAAGACATCCAGTATTGTCCAGTGGTAGAGATTTTTAAAAAAATGTTTCTAAAATGATTGGGCCATTCTTGAGTCAGGTCTTGGGGATGTTTCTGGTTCCCTTTTATGTATTCCATTCCATCAAACAGAATTTATGACTGTCAGCAAAATATGAGTCCCTTCCCAGAGGACAAGTATTTCTCCCCTCATTTAAAAGAGTCCTTGCCAACCACACTTGAACATCTTCAGCCACTTGGATATCTAGTCAAACTTATTGTGTGCCACATATTAATTATGTATTTGTTATCATTTTATCCTAGTTTTGTAAAATGTAACTCAGGGTTCTTACAAAGTGAATTCATTGTCTAAGAGAACAGTTGTGTGTTTTGTAAGTGTTGCCTGCACGCATTAACGTGTTCCACAAGGAGGGACTCTTTGGGTAGTTTTGCACTAGAGACCTGATGTCACCGCTGAAGTTTCCAAACACAGAGGAGCAAACTGGCAAGTGCCAGCCTTTGCTAACTGTCCCCCTGTTTTTGCTAGTGGCAGCAGAAACCTTGTCCAAAGCCCCTTTGTTTTTTCCTTTAGATGTAATCACCTCACTGATCTCCAAGTCCCTTTGGACCCTGCACCCTATTCACTGGCCAAATCAATGAATGAAGGGAAGGGCAGAGTGGAGAAGAGCCAAGTTGGTGATACCTCAAGATCAGTACTTTTGGAAGACGGGCCAGATGGTGAGCAAGTGTCCCTCCAGCCTGCTCATTCAACAAAATGAAAATGGTGGAGTCACCCCTTTGGAGTTCC